CCGGCGAGCGTCGATAAGTTCCAGAGACCGAGAAGAGACCCAATGTCCATGTGGGCTTTTAGACATACCACATGAGGATTTGCCCGCTGCTAGTAAGGTCTGGCGAACATGTGACCAGTGACCATCAGTTGTCTCCATTGAGGGAGTACTCAACTCGCATGTCAGCTTACTTTGATACGCATTCAGAACAGCTGGCTTTTTCAGTTGGCTGGTGTCAATGCGCTCACATCGTCGTCGTGGGCGTCCTCCAAAGCGCATCCGCATGTCAACACATACAAGTGCATGATCAGTGTCCACACATGTGCTCCAAATAGAGCGACAATTCTGGATGCAGCCTCTCCAGCGGTAACTAATAGCAATGTGATCGATCTGCGTCCAAGGCTGGTTCGAGGCTGGTGGGCGCCAAGTCACCCTCCGGTGGGTGCTGTGTCGGAAATTAGTGCTCGCAAGAAATAAACGAGCATCTTCACACAAATGAAGTAACCGCTCACCGTTATCATTACCGGAGCCTACACCGTGCTGACCGCCCAGGGTAGGCAGCGATGATGAATAGACACCTAATAGTCCCGCGCGACTTCGGAGCTTTGAAGGAGCCAGCCAATCGGACCGCACACATCCGGCTACTGACTGGAATCCAACCAACCAGAGCAGCTTCAGCCCGGGGACTCAGGGCAATGCCAACCCCAGCTTGGCCGGTGCTCGAAGCTGCATCGTCCCTGGATAGGCGCAATGGGTAAACACTGATGGTGTCACCTGAAGGGGATCTCAGTATGAGCACAGAGCTCGAGTCTTGCAGGCGGGTCTCCAATAAGCAGCAGATATCGATGGAGAGGGTCTCTAAAGTTTTTTTTATCAAGTGCTATCTGTTGACCGATCTGTAGTAATGTGCGTACATTGAGGCATTCCGATGTGAAGAACGATCGAGGGCTCCAAATGAAAGCCGATGAACTGGGGTGGATTGCTTGGTTGGCCATGGGTTTGTCGACAGGACAGGAGTGACGCTCCACGTTTGTATGTGAGTTGAAACTAAAGATACACTTCTAGCAATGCGTGTTGGGAGTGGGCCAAGAATCAGGGGGTTGAAAACTGGGGTAATGAAAGTGGAGTTGGAACTGGACGAAAAGGGTGAAAAGCGTAAGAGTGTGAATAAGAAGATTGGTAGGCTTGAGCAATAGCATCTAAACCCCTATCCACCCTGCTCGATGCAGTAGAAAGCGCGCCGTTTATTATCCTCTGCGACGACCAGAGCAACAGGAAACTGTTTGAAGAGAAATTCATTGTATTGCGTGGGCGGGTACTGTAAGGTTTCCCAGGCCTAGACAGGAGAACGATTGGGGTTCCCAACCAAAGCCTTTGGTCCGCAAGGCGGCGGGTTTAGCGGTGTGCTACAAAGAGTGCTTTTCATGGAATAAGGAGCCACCCTCATACCAACTCCCAACCTGGATGACCAGGATCCTGAGTTTTTCTGGCCTCTAACCACTGACCAATCTGGTAGGAGAATGGGTCTGAAGGTGCAAAAAAGCATCATCCAGCATAGCGCAATGGATCTCTGAGACACGCAACGCATCGCACCACGGTAAAGTCCAGCGTCATTGCGATGGTTAACCCTAAATAACAACGGATAGTGGGGGTTGGATTCATGTAGCCTTTAGAGTAAATAGCAGCAAGAATTAATTGCGTTATCCTACTTGGAATGAAACAAAAACTGACAACCAGATGTAGGAAACGCCATCGACTGCTTGACTGTGCCATGTCTTATACCGTCTCCAAACATGGGTGTAGGCAATCCCGAGACCCCCATCCTTGAAGACGGCACATGCCAGCCTGTTCAAGTCTCTGGCAATTTCTTTTCGTCTCTGTGACATGTCACCAAATGGCGATCTCGCTCTTTCGTCCAACTTGGTGCACCACGGCGTATAATGCACGCCTAGGAATCCAGTCAGCGAACTTACGGAGGATATGTGCTAGCCGACGTAAGCGATTAAGATTTAGTAAACACTAAAGTGGAGCACCAAAAGGCTTCTTGCCAAAAACCAACTGACGGACCTCGGCCTTGCTCACCCGTTGTTTCCACCATAAGTGTGCAGTACTCCGCAAGCACCGGTGGTCAAACACGGTCAAGCGCTTAATGTTTTCGCCGCGAACTTGCCATGTCTTTGATCCACACATTAAGACCGGTCTTATCGCATCGTTATACACCCTATCTTTCACTGACAGGCTGATATCCCGGCGTCTCCATAGATGACTGAGCATTGAAAAGCCACAACGGCCTCGCTGATACGCGAAGTAAACTACTCAGTTATGTGACCACCGGTTTCACAGTTACCAAGGTAAGTGAACCGATCCACCACTTTTAGTGCCTGTTCCGTGATAGCTATAACCGGAAGTGTGTCTTTGCAGTTCTGTAGCAGTGTTTTCCACTTTGAAGTTGCAAAGCACTTACCGAAGCGTGCAGCACCGCGATTCAGTATATTCAGTAGTGTTTGCATGGCCACTACATCAGAGGAAAGGAGATATAGGACAACTCTGGTGAACGCCACTTGTCGTGGGGAGCTCAGAAGACAGTTTCCCGTATACTCTTACTCGGCCTCGAGAGTCACGATAGAGAGACTGCATAATGGAAAGGAATTTAGCTGGTTTGCCCTTCATGCGTAGGCATTGCTACAAGCTGGCGCTGTCAACAGAGTCGAAGACAGCTTCCAAGTCAAGGAAAACCACCATAGTCGATCGTCTGTATGTATGTTTCTGTTCTAAAACTTGACGAAGAGTAAATATGTGGTCCATCACGGCGGAAGCCAGCCTAACTCTCAGTGATTCAGTTCTCACGCGTACCGGTAAGTCGTCGGTGAATGATATCCTTGCGAAGTTTTGAGGCAATGGAAACGAGGCTAGTACCTCGATGATTTTCACACAAGGTACGCTGATGCTCCTTGAAGATGGGCATGACAGTTGACAGTCGCCAGTCTGAAGGCACTTCTTCAGTGTCCTAAATCGTGTTAAATGGAGAAGCGTCCAGTCTACAAAGTCAACACCATCTTTCAACAAAGCCGGAGGTTGCTTGTCGGGTACAGAGAGACGTTACAGAACATGGCTCACATTCGACACTGGTGGCGCGTCTGTTGTCGTTTTTCAGCCGGATTGCCTGTTTAAAGTGCGTTTGGTGCACAGTTATCTGCGAGGTAATGGCTGATTATGACGCGGGGCAGTGAAAGCCACAAGGAAGCTGTCTCGCCGATGTCGCCTTATCTTTACACGATAGCCAGCCTTTTGTGATGGTATGTTGTCGACAAGGTGCATTCACTTTGACTCTGAACACTCAATCCTCCTTCTCTCCGTTTTATCATTCAACGTTCCTTAGGTTATTGTGGTTTTATGGCAACGAAGCATCAGTTCATATGAGTGATCTACTGCGGTTAATAATGATGACGGTTTTCTGCATACATGGATATTAAAGGATCAGTTGAATGAACGACGACTCCACAGCTATATAAGCTATCCGTTGGGAAATTTTTCTTGAATCTATGGGAAGTTTTTCGCAAAATTACCGAGTAATGGTAAATCAAATTTGTTTCTTCGGTCCATGCGTTTAGTTTCCTTTTTTTCTTGACACTAACTGTGTGCTATTCAAACTCTATCATGACAATGGCCCCAATGAGACATACACGTACTGAAATTGGCGATGATTAATTAACTTTTTTAGCGAGGGATTTCTTTGAACAGTTCATTTAGCCCGCTTTGTTGCCATCATTTTTCTAACTGTTCACGTCCTCTTGTGGTGTTCACATCTTCCAGCAATGATGAATTCTGGTTTGAAACGACAACATGAAAGCGATGCAGAGCGGTATGATCAAAGATCCTTATTCCCGCTTATTGGATATGGCCGCTCACTCATCGAGCTTAGATAAACCCGACAGGCCTGCCTTCTAGTCTGAGTCGCTTAAGTCAACCATTTATGCTTCGTTTGTACCTGGTGCAAAATTGTACATTTATACACTATGCCACGGTCATGTTCTTTGCCTGAAATACCTCTTATTCTTATTCTCCATTTTATTTATTACGCTGTCAACTTTGGAGAGTGTGCTGAAGTGTTTACGTTCTCTTTTGCAACCTTCCACGAATCTTCGGGTCATGTAGCGGTCCACGATGAGCAGTGTCTGAATTCTTCTCGGCGGATGGTGTACTTCAGTGCCACTCTGTTAATACTCCGATTCTAACTCGACGCGATAACTCACCGAGAGAATTTTTCCAATTTCTTGTTTCGATCTACTTGGACGCTCCGTTACTGCTCCTCCTCTTATCGCGGCGTAACCTAGTGCGGCAGTTTGCTTGCCTCAGCCATTCATCGAGCTGCGGTGCATGGAAATTCCGTATGCCCCATTGGGAGTTTCGTTGATTCTTTCTCTTGTAGCCAAGCATTTAGTTTTCGGTAAGGTGCCATCGGTGTCTCACTCAAAGCTTACTTAAGCTCAACCACTTGCGTCTTGTCCTCTCTATATTCGTTGATCATTCTCCTCAACCTACATTGCGTGCCGTCACTGCACTAAGTTGGCTGAAACCTCGAAGTGACCAGTCGATGACACTGGCATGAAGTAATTAACTGTGAGAGATTTGCTCAGGCTGGTGCATGTGCCATCTTCCTCAATGGGAGCCCAGATATGGTCCACTTCAGTGGTTAGAGACAGGGCGCAGTCATTGACGTTCTTGCATTCAGTTTCTTGCGTCTAACTGTTAATCAGCTTATGTCGTTTAGTTTTACGCACTTCTGACTGTTGTTAATTATTATTATCATCCCTGATCTACTACACTTCGCTGCTCGGACCGTGGTTGTTCGACTGAATTAAACCGAACTGAGCTACGTGTTTATGCCTAACAATTTTGGTAAAGTAGGACATCCCACTGTACTTTTGTCCCTTGGTCCTGTGGTCCCTCCTTTTAGTTTGTCTAGCATTCAGCAACATCTTAACACCATCTTTCATCAATCCTTGCGTTTCTCCACACAGGAACAACCTCACTTTGGAAGGATCCACACAGAATGGCGATACTCTTGCGGATGTGAGTTCCATTCATTTTCACATAAATAGTCCCGCGCACAACAACCGCTGGTTCGGCAATTTCTTTATTATTCAACTTTCAGCGCGTCTACGTCGTCAACACACTAGTCGTATACCTTGTCCATTTTTTCTTTATGCGCTTCATTCTATAACTTATCGCTGTTGCAACCATCATGGTGGATGCCACCTACAGGACAACCAAATAGCTTATCGGAACACGAGATAATAAACCACACCCTTATCTCTAAGGTGACATCTTCCTAGCATGAGGCACCGTCCCAACTGAACTGGTTCGGCGTTGAAACTATCGCCTAATGGGACGCATTGTTTTGTAGACATTGACCCAAAACTACAGCTATCATGCTTCTCACAAAGTGATCATTCAAACTCAATCCTACTTTTACTCTCGGACACTGATTGGTTTGCCCAGATGACCAGTCTCAACATCACCGTCAGTGGACTTTGGGAAGAAGTCGTAAATGTTCCCCTAAACCTCGGCGACAGAGGTCATGGTTCATTGCTAACAACCACACCATTTACGAGTCAAACGAATCCATAGCGGAATCAAGCTCCTGCTTAAGAATATTCAACTGAGTCCGCCAGCACATCAAGTTGAATCTAAAGTGGCGCACACGCACAAATGCGTGCCCATCGTCTTGACCAATTGCAAGTCAGTGCACGAGTACTCAGAATATCTGCATCGGTTGGTGCAGCGGTTAGACTTTGCGCTCAGCCAACAAACCACGTGATGCATACGCGGACATGAAAACAACATGTGAGCTCAGTCACTATAGGATGCGGTGCGGACTAGCACGCGACAGCTATGGATGGTTGAGGAAGTACTGTAACTCCCACTCACTCACTTGTGCGACATCAAGACACACAACACAGAACTGGAGGGCCGCGGTAACAGTGTCCACTGTTGCGCTCAGACGACCGGATGGGAAATGTGCTCTACAATGAGACGGTATCGATTGCCTTCACTGAAGGTAGCTGCATGCAAGCTAACAGACATGTCCGTCAACCTCACCTGGTTTGACCTATGCTTAGCGGTGTCCACATGTGATCGATTGTGGATGATATTACCTGAGTGAAATAATGCGTGCGGTGCTTCACAACGCGCTATCATGGAACAATGCGTTAACAATCGGTGGGTGTGGCTGAATTACCTGTTAACTGCAGTTGATCGGCCTTAATGATGAGGTTAGCATCAGCATCTGCCCAGCAATGCATGATGTACTGCAGTGAGCTTTGCGGAAGGGTACCGCGTAAATTGTGATAACGTTACCGGCTTGGCAACAGCTTGCTTTTACTGGTCTATATGCACTTGTTAGTATATTGCAGCCGTTGACATGGTGAGCAAATACGTTTATAAAGAAGCGTCATGAGTTCGTTTGAAACGAAGATGAAACGATGATCTATTTTAATGTTAGCGCACTCATCGCCAAGATGTCGAAATGCGACGCGCTGGGTATGGTGAAACGCTTTTTGACTGAAGAGATTAACCTAGGGAGTGGCCGAAGCTTAAGGTGGTTGAAACAACCGACATTGCGCCGTGTATTGTTTTAGCTCGAGTTTCAGTCGGAAGTAGGCACTCAAGAACATGATGTTATCATTAGATCGGCAATGTCCACTATTTTGTACATAATACTGGCAAACTCCAGTAAATGGCCAAAAGTTGTTGGTATCAAGTGGATGGCACATTTTGAACATAAAAGCTGGTAAAAAAAATCTAGTTTGTGAGGATTCTGAAATCGCTCACCATGAAGTTGCACGTCGCCATTCCTTGACTGCTCCGTTTGCAAGAATGAATAGCTTTCAAACCGATAATTGGTCAACCGACAAACACAGATGGGACACAGCACTACAATTCCGGTCTCTGTGTTCCGCAAGTTAGGCCATGTGCACAGAGAAGGAAGTTGGGGACGCCGCTTGCAAGTAGACAGTAATGTAATTGCTGAATAGTGGACGCCCGAAACCGTTAGTGAAACACTCGTTTCACATTATTCTAAAACCACATTGAAAATATACGGTGGAATCGATTGAAACGATAAGAAGGTAGAGGGAAGTTCCTTTTCCTTTCCGACGGCACTAACCAAGGAATAAGATTCGGGATCTGTTCAACAGTGACGTATCTGAAAGACAAACTTCTCGTAAGTAAGATGACTAACGGCGTTGACAAAGGTATTCGCAACAACTGTGAATATGTGTGTATAGAACATACCGCGAGCAAAGTGCACACAACACTGCTAGAACACCTGAGGCGCAAGTCATGGCGACGTCTAAGTATAATGCTCTACTATGAGATTCGGCGGTAGCGACGCACGTATAAGATGCAGTGCATTTAAGGTGGCCAGATTATTTGTGAGCTAAAGCGAGGCGCTTCCAGATTTCTTGCGCGCCAAACCGGGACACTTAACCTACACCCGTTTGTTTTTGCATATGTTGACCGTACAACAAATTGAAAAGATAAATATCTACACTTATTGATTCAATGCAATAACAAAAAGTACTTACGTTATTAGTCAGTACAATGACTGCGCTACTGAAGGTATAAATAAATAAATAGATAGTATATTCTCGATAAAAGGAGGAAACCAAGTGAAGGCATGACCAAATATACCTAAAAGCATAGCTGCTTTGGAACAGTAAAATGTGTTGTTAAAATAAAATAAAACCAAACTTTTCGTAGTTTATGAACTTGAGAAGTTTGTCAGAAAATAGTGGGATCCAGGAACATTATGACGCTGGTTCGCGAAAAAATCAGGGTTACTGTTATGATGGCAATAGCCAACGTTCGGCGTGATTTCACCCTGTGTAATCCATTATTTCATGAGCACAGGAGCCAAATTAACATGTTGGTACAAGTGTTTCCGAGTAAAACATAATGTGCTGCTTGACATAATATTAGCTGGAACCACAGTTATTGAGCAATAGTGAAATAAAGAAAGAAATGTTTTATTCTCGACAGTGCCAGACACGCCTTATCACACAAGATCATGGTGATACAACAAGTACTGGTTAATGTAAAAGCGACACAAGATTATAAGTAACATATGGATCCATGTGTTAAGTGTGCATGAATGCATTTAGGACGAGTGTTGTTGTGTTGCTTGAATTTGTGAATGTGACGCCGTATTTGTGATTGTTTTCGGTCAGGCTTAAGAAGAAGAAAAATGAAATCTTCGTATTGGATGACCCACGTCCGTGGCTTGGGTTAGATCATCCAGGTACGTAAGAAACAGTGACTCTAGTTAGCGGCGAGTCACATCCGCCACGTCACAGCGTTGTTAAACCGACATTTGTGGCGTTTTATAGAAAAAACGCTTGCCAGGCGAAAACCCAGCATGTTCTGAAACACTGCTAACAAACTATTTGCTGTAAGTGGGTAAACCCGAACCGACCAGCTGACACCACGAAGAGGTTGTTCGGCTAGCCCGATGAATGTATTTTTCGTAGTAGATCTGGGCGCTGCATCAGCATGTCGTGAAGTCGTTTGCAAGCATACCCGGTGCTCTTGTCCTCAGAACTGCATTTCACCATAAGCATCGCTTTCAGTGTTTAAACACTAAGCTGCGTTGTCCAGGATATACTTCAATTCAATGTGGACAAATGTAGAGTGCTATATCTGGGGCACAAGTTGGTTCATTCCTACAAACTCGGCAACCAGGAGCTTCAAATGTCTTCTGGCGAGAAGGATGTGGGAGTTTTGTCCAGGTTGACCTTGGATGTTCGAATCAGACTGAAACGGCGTCAAGGAGGGGCATCCAACACGTGGGCCTCCTGAAGCATGCACTCGGACGATTCGACCCTTCGATTTTTCCACAACTTCTGGGCTCATACATACGGCCACATGTGGAATACGCCATACAGGTTTGGCAGCCATGGCTGAGGAGAGATCTCACCGCCTTGGAGATACCCCAAAGCCGGGCAATTCAAAAACTTCAAGGATCTGTATAATTTGCCGTATGAACGAAGGTTTCGAGTAATCGGGATCTTCAGCCGACAATATCGGCGATTGCGCGGAAACCTCATTTTGGCTTACCATATTTTGTGAGATCCCAACCACACGTGCCGCCATTTGCTAGAGCTCAGTCCCTAAGCGCAATTTGATAGGCCACTATCTCAAGCTGGAACAGTAACACAGTCGATTAGAATGCCGTCGGAATTGCTTTTCCGTACACATTTGCCGTACGTGGAATGTCCTACCGGAATCTGTCATATGTGCTCCCACACTGGCAGAGTTTAAATCCGGGGTTGGCTTTGCACTTATTTCGTTGCATCTTAAATGACCCATTACTTATGGATTAACACATGTCTGTAAGTGTTTTCACAAGCGGTCAAATCCTAGATTTCGTTTCACGTTTTTCATCTCCTGCATGTGTACAGCAGAAGGAGACACAATTTTTACCAACATCCATATTAGGTAATCCCAATCCACGCCTCCTACGGTTCGCTCAAGCCGTGACGACAAGCCAGCTAAGACTTGCTCTGTGTGCGCATAAGCAGCCAGATTTTGACCTGCGGATACCCCGGTCTTATGACGATTGCTACCGTTCACCTCATGGCATTTGACTGATTGTTAACACCCTTGGGACGGTATGAGATAATTTCTAGTTATTGTATTGATGCTGATGAGACAATACGAAATGCGCGCATTTACCATTGATCGTGTTCTCATTTGTGTTATTCAAACTATTGAAGGGAACTAATTGTTAAATAACTGAAATAGTTTATTTCGCGATGGTGCGAGATCCTGTGACAGCAAGGGACAAATCAGTGCTGGCATGAATTAGTTTCCCGAGACCGGTCACATGTGCCACTGTAGTGTCCCACTGCCGCAAAGCGAATTTTGGCATAGTATATGAACAGATGATGTGCATTCATTCACACGTGAGTTATACTGTGCGGCCAAATTTAGCACCACGTCATACTCTGGTTACATAGCTCGCACGTGTTCATCTGTGACCAATATCCGCTATGCCACGTAAGGACAGGCTC